CAGGCAAGAAGTGCCCCGTTGACGTGTTGTTGGAGAAAATGGCTGTTGACAAGAAGAACGATGGAGCCAAGAAGAAGATTGTGCTTCTCTCTGCCATCGGAAAGACACACGAACAAAAAGCGAGCGTAGTCCAAGACCACGTCATCAGGGTAGTTCTGTCCCCGGCAACTCAGGTCATTCCTGGCATGCCGAAGTCTCACGGCACCATAGTCACACCCCCTGGCTCCAAGTCCATCTCCAACCGTGCTCTCGTTCTCGCCGCTCTCGGGCAGGGGACGTGCCGGATCACGAATCTGCTGCATTCTGACGATACAGAGTACATGTTGTCAGCCATCGCCCAGCTCGGGGGTGCGACATATGCTTGGGAAGATGCCGGAGAGGTGTTGGCTGTCAAGGGCAAAGGCGGCGAGCTCACTGCCAGCAAAGAGGCGCTGTACCTCGGCAACGCCGGTACTGCGTCCCGATTCCTGACGACGGTCGTGGCTCTTTGTGCGCCATCCGGTGTGTCTTCCACCGTACTTACCGGCAACGCTCGCATGAAAGTTCGTCCAATTGGTCCTCTCGTCGATGCTCTCAGGGCCAATGGGCTGGAAATCAAGTACCTCGGGCAAGAGAAGAGTCTTCCTCTACAGGTGGATGCTGCCAATGGCTTTGAGGGCGGAGTTATCGAATTGGCCGCTACCATCTCATCGCAGTATGTGTCGTCGATCCTCATGGCTGCACCTTACGCGAAAAACCCAGTCACACTACGACTCGTAGGCGGAAAGCCTATATCACAGTTTTACATTGATATGACCATCTCTATGATGCGCACCTTTGGCGTGAACGTCACGAAATCGACAACGGAGCCCAATACCTACCACATTCCGAAGGCCGTGTACCAAAACCCTGCCGAGTACGTGGTTGAGAGCGACGCCAGTTCCGCTACCTATCCTTTGGCTATTGCGGCCATCACCGGCACCACTTGTACTGTGCCCAACATTGGTTCAGAGTCACTTCAAGGCGACTCTCGATTTGCTGTTGACGTGCTGCGACCTATGGGCTGTACGGTCGAGCAGACTGGAACTTCGACAACTGTTACGGGACCGCCCATTGGCAATCTCAAGGCGATTGAGCATGTTGACATGGAACCCATGACGGACGCTTTCCTCACAGCCTCCGTTTTGGCCGCTGCGGCGTCGGGAACAACCAAGATAAGCGGCATTGCCAACCAGCGCGTCAAAGAATGCAATCGGATTGGGGCAATGCGCGAGCAACTGGCCAAGTTTGGCGTTGAGACTGACGAGTTCGACGACGGGATCATCATTACCGGCCGCGGTGTGCAGGGGCTGCAGCAGCCCACTGAAAGTATCTACTGCTACGACGATCACCGCGTCGCCATGAGCTTCAGCGTTCTTTCAGTGGTATCCCCCAGACCTGTGACGATTCTTGAGAGGGAATGCACTGGCAAGACATGGCCGGGATGGTGGGATACCATGTCACAGTTCTTTAATGTTGAGCTTGACGGCATCGACCAGCACCCCAAGTCAGTGGCTACGGGACTTCCCACAAGATCTCGTAAGGACAAGTCCGTAGTCATTATCGGTATGCGTGGCGCAGGCAAGACGACTGCGGGGAGATGGATGGCCGCTACACTGAAGAGGCCTTTCATCGACTTGGATGAGGAACTGGAAAGGCGGTCAGGCATGACAATTCCGGAAATGATTAGAGGTTCCAAGGGCTGGGCAGGCTTCAGAAACGACGAGCTTGAACTTCTCCGGGATGTCTTGGAGAAACAGAGCCACGGGCATATCTTCTCATGCGGCGGCGGCATTGTGGAGACTCCTGAAGCTCGGAAACTGCTTGTCGCCCACTGCCAGAACAACGGCACTGTGTTACTCGTCCACCGGAATACCAAGGAAGTTGTCGACTACCTTTTGCAGGACAAATCAAGGCCGGCCTACAGAGAAGACATTGAAGATGTCTACTGGCGTCGGAAGCCCTTCTTCGAGCAGTGCAGCAACTTTGAGTACTTCAGCCCTCATCCTCCTGGTACATTGGCTACACGGGAGCCGCCATTGGACTTTCGCCGCTTCGTCAATGTTTTGTGCGGAGAGCAGATCCAAGTGAACAAGGCACTAGCAAAGAATCCTAGTTTCTTTGTTTCCCTCACGATACCAGAGGTTGCGTCAGCTCTTACTCTGATGCCGGCTGTTGTGGTCGGCTCCGACGCCGTGGAGCTTCGCGTGGATCTGCTCCAAGATTACTCTGAGGAGTTCGTGGCGCACCAGGTTGCGCTTCTTAGATCGGTGGCAGATGTGCCCATCATCTTCACTCTGCGCACACAGTCTCAGGGCGGGAAGTTCCCCGATGACGCCTACGATCAAGGTCTTGGGATGTACCAAAAAGCCATCCGTATGGGGGTTGAGTTCATCGATGTTGAGATGACACTTCCCGAGCGAGTCATACGAGCAGTCGTGGAGAACAAGGGACCCGCGCGTATCATTGCCTCCCACCATGATCCCCAGGGCAACCTGTCGTGGAAGAATGGTTCTTGGATCCCCTTCTACAACAAGGCTCTTCAGTGGGGTGATGTGATCAAGCTGGTCGGTGTCGCCAAGCGTATCGAGGACAACTATGACCTGGCCCAGTTCAAGTTGGATATGCTGTCCTCGCACAAGATCCCCATCATCGCTCTGAACATGGGACAAGCTGGGAAGCTCAGCCGTGTTCTGAATGGATGTCTCACCCCCGTCTCCCATCCCAGTCTCCCATTCAAAGCAGCCCCGGGGCAGTTGTCTGCAGCTGAGATTCGGCAAGCCTTGGCATTGCTTGGTGACATCAACCCCCAAACCTACTATCTTTTTGGTAGTCCCATCGCAGCGTCAAGGTCACCTGCTCTGCACAACACTCTTTTCAATCTGGTCGGATTGCCGCACCACTACTTGCGCAAAGAGACGGCCGATGCTACCGAAGTGCGCGGGTTGATCCGTGCTCCTGACTTTGGCGGCGCTTCCGTGACAATCCCGCTCAAGCTGGACATTATGAAGGAAATTGACGAAGTCTCGGAGGCTGCTCGTATCATTGGCGCTGTCAACACCATCATCCCAGTATCCAACGGCGGAGACACGGCTAAGCTCGTCGGTGACAACACTGATTGGTCAGGCATGGTTCACTCTCTTCAGTCGGTAGGCGTTTCGTCCCAGTCGACAGAAGACGGCCAGTCCTCTGCCATCGTTATTGGCTCAGGTGGAACAACACGAGCTGCCATCTTCGCCTTACACGCACTTGGCTTCGGGCCCATCTACGCTCTAGCACGCAACAGCGGCAACTTGGAGACCCTGAAGGCGTCGTTCCCTTCGGATTATCGCATCGAAGCTCTCAAGAATGCCAGCGAAGTTCCTGCACTAGCGTCCTCGCCTACTGTCATGGTCAGCACGATCCCTGCCGACAAGCCAGTTGATCCCTCGCTTCGCGAAACGCTCATGGCGGTATTGCGTCAAGACACTGCAACCGACAGGAAACGCGTTCTTCTCGAGATGGCCTACCAGCCTCGCCATACACCGCTGATGCAATTGGCTGAGGACGCCGGATGGGAGACCATCCCTGGTCTTGAAGTGCTCTCAGCTCAGGGCTGGTATCAGGTAAGTGAATGTTTATGGGCGGCGGAATCGTCTAGAGAGACGAACGAGACATAGGCGGCTAACTTGATTTGAAACTAGTTCCAGAAATGGACAGACATCACCCCTCTCTACCAGACTGCTCGGGCAGCCGTCTTGGGCGATGAAGACGCGGAAGCCAGCGGTACCAAGGCATGATGCAAGCACCGACTGTTGAACAAGCGCACCGAATATTACCGGTGCTGCGTCTGTTCGGCTGGCTAATTGGAGGAAAGGAGCTGTAGAGGCTAGCTTTATGCCGCATAGACAGACCTAGATGTTCAGTAGATGATTAGACTTTGGGAATTTATCTAAAACTTGGCGGATGAAGAACTGAGTTGAGTGAACAGTAGTGTGACCGACCTTACCTATACTCGATGTGTACCTTTGCGGCAGATTATTTCCACTCTGGAACCAATATATGTCAACCCCGCGTGAAATAATAGTGGTCGTTACTTCATGGGGACTACCTCCATTTCACTGAGAGCGATGCCGACTGGAATGGAACACCTTGGTAAAGTGATGTTTTGTTGTACATATTAATATTTCTATAATGCTTCATTCTCCATCATAATCTCATGTCGTAAAAACCAGCAACGCCCGCGTGCCCATGACACTTTCCGTTTCCCGCCCCCCTTTTTTTTTCTAGCCCAGCGGTCTCGACTTTAGACCATGATAATGTAATGTACAATATCTCACAAGGTTTGCCATGTGGTAGAAACAAGGTAGTGAAAACACTCGCTCCGTATCGCATTCCCTTAATCCATCACATAAGAAATAAACGAAATATGTTCAAACCCCGCTACTTTCAATGTAGCAGAAAGTCCGTGAAACCCATCAAAAGAACAGTCAACGCCTAGAAATGGCATCATGATAGATGAATGAGGACAGAGACTTGATCGGCTACCCACACTGCGTGTTGGAGAAACATTGACAACCTGTGGTAGGTATGTAGGCGAAATAGCGTCATGATCACCCAGCCTCCGGTTCTCGTCCCATCAATTCCCAATTCGATGGACGCCGGCGGAGGTGGATGATGGTGCCAAGACTCATGATGATGTCGTTGAGTGGAGTCGGGGTAAGTCGCACGACGTCTGGCCGCACGGATCCGATATGATTTGGGAGTAGAAGTGACGTCACTACGGGTCATATGGATCGTCAGGGTCGTTGTGCACAGACCATGTGATGTCATGTTGCACGACCCTTACTGCACCATTGAGGACCCTGAATTCCCACCCTTGTCGACTTGCCCAATCGCCCCACATGATTCATTCCCCCATTTCGGAGATGATTCGCGCTCTTGACGTCGACTGGGCTCATGGTCGTAGCGCACGAGGATGAATGAATGTAGCTTCCCCAGCTACCTGTGATTTCTTCAGGCGATTGTACCAGTGTGGCAGTATGCCGCGGGGTAACCTTCATCCGAGCTGTGCCAGATTGCCGGTGTGGGTAGACGATGGTCCGTGTAATAGAGACCAATGTATGATGAGCCTTGAGTAAATGTTCAGATTTGGTTGCAAGTAGCAGCGTATCTAAACATTGTGCCCACGGCGGCGATGCTTGCCTGGGAATTCGACATCGGGATGGCAGACTCGGTAGTGTCGCGTGAGCGCATCGGCACGACTGAACGTCTTTTCCTCGGTGCAAAGATTGCAGCGCACCTTCTGCTTGCGCGCGTTGTGAATAGTATCCTCGTGCCGAGTCAAATCGTACGGGCGTGAAAAGATTGTGTGGCACGGTTTGCCAGTGCTAGGGTTGATACGATCGCAACGGTGAGGACCCGCTTGGCTGTTGAGAATGCTGTCGGGGGATGTATCAACCGCCTCGGGTCTTCTGGGCCCCCCAATACCTTGAGTCTGTCGGTGCCCCTCTCGCTTGTGCTTTTGGAGAAGTGCAGGAGTTTCGAATCGCATCGTGCAGCCGTGGTAGGTACATGTGTAAGTGCCGCCGTCTGCAGTAGCACCAGCAGGCTTGGCCATGGATGTCCCGTGTGAGGTCGAAGTCACTTCCGATCCCACAGTGCTGGACTCAGCAGAGCTGAGTCGAGGAATCTGCTCATGAGATTGACGCGGATGGGCAATGAATGGGTATTGTTGGGGGATGTGGACGGCGGTCTGAAGCTGGGCAGGCATGTAAGGGAAAGCTGTCCCGTTCTGCATGGCAGACCTAGCAAAATTGGCCTGCTGGTCCTGGCTAGCAACTGCCTTGGCAATATCCTCAAAATCGACCGTTTCCTGGGACGGGAACAGTGAGAATGATGATTCAGCATCACCGTCGTGGAATTCCAGCATTGCGTCCTTTGGCGAGATTGTTTTCGGAGTCTCAGGCTCTGACTTCACAGCCATTTGCTGTCTCATGATCTGTGCGTCATGTTCCGCCTTCTTCTGTTCCCGAATCTGGTGGGCCGAGTTGAACCGTAGACGAGAGGCTTGGACACCTTGCCCGAAGTCGTGGTTGGGCATGGGTGCCAATGGTGACCCTTGACGGAATGGCGAGCGATCGCGCGAGACACTAGATACTGGCGACTGTGCGGCGCTGAGGTGCTGATTGTTTGCAGCACTCAGTCGTTGAGCGAACACATCGTTGCTAGGCGATACGGCCATCTGATTCTGTGCTGGGGCTGCCGAAGTAATGGTGAAGTTGGGACTGTACAGCTCATCATTGTAGATGTCTGTCATGGTACGGTCTAGCTTGGGAACATTGCTGAACACTGCGTCGTAAAATCCAGGTAAGCCTATATTCAATAGAATGTGAGGAGGGCATTGCTTACCAGCTTTCCGCCGCCTATCATCTTCGTGGTCGAGATGTGATGGTGTTGCGGGTGAGTCTCCGGCAATGGAACTTGCCACAGAGTTTGGGTGTGATCTGCTGCCAGCCATAGAAAGTTCAGGCGCAGGTAGTAACCCGCGGTCAGAGCGCGGTCGTTGAACGTTCATAGCTGAGGCGTAGCCAGCCATGTCCGAAGAAATGTTTTGCAATCCGTTGTAGTTGGGGTACATATTGTCGTGAGACACCGTCATTGACTTATTAGACAGTTGGTAAAAAGCATTGCTGTCGTGGGCCTGCATGTCGTATAGTCCGTCGGGTGTCGAGTCTGTGACTGCGATCTGGGGATTTAATGTGCTGTGGTTGAAGGGTGAGGCGGGACCAGCTGAACCGAGGGAAGACAAAGATGACTCCCGCTGATGGGATAGTCGACCAACGGTCTTGGAAGCGTATTGATTCCCGAGTGCCCACGCGTCTGACTGCATTAGGTTATACTGGCGGTTATAGTTCAGGGCAGAATCGTCGAGTGCTGAGGTGGTTGTCGCTGATCGTCTTGGGACGGCCAAGTGGGATGTGTCGTGACTCGTAAGATTGGCCGAGGTGTTCCCTAGAGAATAATGGGAAGAAAGAAAAGATTGAGTCGACAGCGGAGACGAGGAAATGCTCGAGGAAGTGAGATCGTGCGCAGCGTCGTCAAAGGAAGCGTCGAGGTCGAAGTCGAAGTCGATCGACTGAGGGTAAAATTGCTGTGATTGTGTTTGATACTGGTGGTGTAGGTTGGAGTGATGGGGATCGAACTGCTGCTGTTGCTGATGTTGCTGAGTAGATTGTGAAGTAGTGGGTCGGGTCAACAGCATGGTGTTGTAGTTGAGAAGTTCAGATGTTTTGTAGGTGTGATGGTGTGAGATGTAAAGCGAGTGGCAAACGATGGAGGGACGATGACTTATAAAGATGGAAAGACTAGAGAGGCAGCGGGTTGGTTGCACTACGTAGGGGACTTGCAATGAGGTAGGTAGGTAGCCAGGTACGTACTCGAAGTGGGCTGTGGGGCTTAGGTAGAAGAAACAGGGTGTGCGGTAAGGTAGCGCGTTGTGGGTACGTACCGTTTCTCGCAACGCGGACGATGGGCGGAGGTACCGGCAGGGGGACCCGAGGCTTGGACAAGTTGTGCTGGCGCTCCCGGGGATGGGATCAGTGTGGTATGTAGAGGAGGGTTACAGGGGGTCTTGGGATCGGGACTGGGGGAGACCAGCTTAAGGTCTGGATGCAGGAAGGGAAGGGCCCGGAAGGGGGGATATTACTGGGAGAAATTTTTCAGGTGTGTGGGATGATGACCAAGTCGACCAAAAGCGTGCGGTATGAAGTCCTTGATTTTTTTTTTCTCTCGATCCCATTTGCTGGAAGGTCGAGGAATCCTCAAGACCGACAACGGCCCACCCGGTGTTTTTGAGTTTTTGTGTCTGTTAAGCAGCCCAGTGAGCAAGCAGTTGCTTGAACAATGCACTTGCAATGTGATGCGCATAAGGTAAGCAGAAAGCGCGAGAAAAGCTCGCCTACTGCTGCCCTCGACATCTTTCCCTCTTCGACATCCGTACTGGGTGACTATTCGCTACCTTTCCATTCCGATCCACATCATGTGAGCAGCGCACGGAGGAGTAGAAGGCAGCAAAGGAAGTGCGCCGAGGTCTACTACCTATTGATCCGGAGTTAAGGCAGAAAAACCCAGCGGGATGATGTTACTGAAATGGCCGCAGGTGGACGGAACAGCAAGTCCTCAACAACGGACTCCTGAACAGCTGACGCGGATGCAAACTGAGTCACATGACGGAAAGAGAGATCGAGAACGGCCATGGCCCAGTGCGTTGTGTACCTACGCAGCAGTAGGGCGGAGTACGCGGAAAGCGAGCATGGCCGTGGGCCATAGACAAATAATTTACAATCCAGAATAATAAGGTAGCGTGCGGTGGTGCAAAGTGACGAGGGCTTGCTCGAAGCCTCTAGAAGTTCCTTCAGTTCAGCGGTCATTGTCGTTCACCAATACATTATCCGCAGCAGCAGGCAGCCTTAGTAACGCAGGTCAATTGAATTTGACAGCTTGGACCCTCCGCTCAACAAATGATGAGTGAGCATACTAAGAAAGCAGGTTGGTCATGAACTTATGACACCTACGCACTGTGGGTTGAGCGAGACGGACAAGGCGGGAAGATGCGAGCGCGGGAGATAGCACGGAAGTAATCCGAGGAATCTTGCTCTCTTTCCATAGCACCTCCAGCTTGAGATACCGGTAGTGGAAATGGAACCAGAGGCAGACAGGAAACACACAGGACTTGGCAGGGTGCTCGGCTAGGCTTGCGCTTGATGCTGCGCTGCGCGGGTGGTTGCACTCAAAGGGTCATGAGAAGCAGCGATCAAGACGTAGGTGGACTCCATTCCGGCGACGGAACGACATCGATAATCCCGTCGAGGGCTGGTGGAGTGACGTAGGGCGGAAGGTCGGACCACTCAGGTCTCATAGCTCGCCGCCATAGTGCAAGACCCGGTTCCCATCCACCTATCCTGCACGGATATTTCAGAGAATGTGCCGGAGAACTTAGAAGCTTACCTCACAGGCTTACACTACGCAGTACCTCCCACATTTGGTCGTCGCTTCCCGTGGTGCAGAACCTAATACTGTGTCACTGGAAGGAAAATGGAATGGATTGATGGGGTGGTGGGCCCACTCGATGACATGCCGGAACGCACACAAGCACACCTTTACCACGTTACAACTTATGTAGACAAACCTACCAGAATCCCACGGTCCCCCCGATGATGGCACATGGATGCATCTTATTCTTCGACCGACACGGGCCATCCGTCACCTTGCTTGCAGGCTTCATCTCTCACCGGCGATTGATCGTCAGCGACCATCTCCTTGTTCAAAATGACCGACAGAAGGTGGGGAGAATTGATATCGAAATCTCCAGTTCCAGGCTCCGTTTCCAAGTATGCATATCCGTAGTCCATACAGAGTAAACAGATATGTTCTGACCTTTCTGTGATAACCCAGACTGTACACGGTAGACACTGATATCATGCAACGTCAATGACCACTATCCAAGATTCTGGCCTGCGTGCCTGCTAGCGAGAAATATCGTCCAAGAACCCACAGAGTATCCGTATCGCAGCTCCATTAGTTACCCGGCCATGCCAGCGTGCCGGCCTGGCGGGCAAACGCCGATGGTAGATGGTGGGTGGAGCGCTCCAGGGAAGAGTGAGGGGGACGAAGATCGCTTCCATGCTCGCTGCACCGGTCGCTTCTACCATGCCATGGCCCCACGAATGCTGCATGTTTTGAAGGGTCCTGTCGGGCTGGATGTTCATGTGGGTGTGATGGAAGTGTTTGGTCGACGCGGGCAGACAGGGAACAGGGGTTCGTGCGAAAATGCCATGACCTGAAAATGCAATGATGCAGGCACCCGAAAGGGAGGGGGAAAAAGGTTCTTAGAAATTCACTTCGGCGAAGCCTCGGAGGACGGGAGGGGGATTTCGCTCGTGCCCCGCGGTCCAAAGGGGAGAACCCCGGGCAGCGAGGCCGCGAGAGAGAGAGAAAAAAGCGAGATCGCTTTCACTTCTGACAGGGGTGCTGCTTTTCATTGGTCGAAGGCTTGTGGCTCAGCCACACAGCCACATCGCGGTTGCGCTCAACAGTCCGTTTCGTTCAAGCCGAGAGAAGCCACCCAATCACACAATGTGTCAAGGTGTCAGTCCAGTTACCCGCAGGAGCTGGCGCTTTCTAATTATGCAGTGCATCTCCCTCGGCCTCGTGGTTGTCGTCTGCAGGTACGGATACACGCCATCGAACAACGTAGCGAAGAATATAATCTATGTATCTATAGCACGAATTCCCGATTGGTCCCCCCTGTCATCGCCTTCTCCCATTCGTGCCGTTCCTACGCACTTCAATGGCCTTATGGGACATCTGTGGAGATAAGCAAATAATCACATAGGTAAGGTACGGACACCATACCGGTATGTGTGTTACTTCAGTGCCATGCCCAATGACCAGAGACGTCTTTCTCATCGGCATGTTGACTAAGATATTTTGTCGATGACAAATGATCGCAACGTTTCATAACCAGAGGCTACCCGTACGTACCTTGGGTTTCTTCAGAATGATGTCAGGTCCCGTGATCTTTCTGTCTTGCTTATCTAATCGGACTCGCAATTCACCTGCCCAGCTGTTGTCGTGTGGCTGGTGGTTGGCTCCCTCTTCGCTTTGCATGGCACGCATCGGCTTCTGCTAAACTAAGCATATCCAAACCTAACCAAACCTTACCATACAGATACCCTTGAGTCTGGATAGAATCCGAAAGCCACTTAGAGTTTGCGGCCAACGTCACACAGTAACAATAGGCAGGGTTCTTGAATTGTCCTTGTCACCCAGCGATGAATTCGTCGCCCACGCGTTCTAACCTACCTTTTACTTACGTATGCCTCACTACCTACAAATTCGCAAGACGTTTGCTCACTGTATTTCCTCACGATACTTCATCTAATAGGGCTCAGACGCGTCTGCACTATCAAGAACCCTGTTCATCACTATGAACGGCGCGGTCCATCTGATACCGAGCATCTGGTAACGGTGCGAGGTATTCACAAGTCACCCAGCATGGCAATTAGTGGCGGGGTGATATTGACAGGCGGCAAGCCGCAGCTTGCAAACCGAGAGAGATGTGGCGCAGTGCTATTAGCTGCTATTCCTGACGACCACTTTCGGTCATCATTCCGCTCCACTACCCACCCATTTTATACGTCCCCGCGTTCTCGGTTTATAGCCGAAATGGCACGAAATGGCACTTGGTACGGAGTATGTACGCATAGTCGACGCTTGATAATAACTTACATAGTGATAGGTTGGGCATGTTTGCTCTCAATTCGTGACTCATGCATGCATTTGTCTGTGTGATGTGGCTTAACCAGGAGGAGCAAGACAGGTCACCCATGGCCGGTGGTCCCCTTTGAGCATTCTGTAGGTGCCGAGGTATGATCCAGCCACACATGCCAATCTCCATTGTGGCTTGCCTATCTGCACGTCGGGTCCCGACCGAGCGGGTTTCCTCGGATAACCACCACTGTGACTGTCCGCACTTCTCACCCAGGCACAGGCACAGGGTGCCAGGCTGCCCAGGACCGCGGGAACAAACTCGCTTTTTCAGGCTTGAGTCGGAGCGTTGGACTGAGGCCTGGCTTCGCGCGCGCGCGGCGCCGGAGAGCCGGGGCTGTGAATGCCACGAATCAGTCACGCTGGTAATGCCAGCTGACAGATGAGTTTGCTCAATGACTCCTCTTAGCAGCCGCAGCCGCAGCCGCAGCCGCGCCAGCTCTAGGTGTAATGGATGTTGATTCCCAGCTGCCAAGGAAGTGACTCGGACGAGACCCTCTTCATCGCAATCGGTAACGACGCTGATATTGACTCTTTTTTTTCCGTTGTCAGCTGAGGAGGCATCGTATTCCACTCGTATCAAGCTTCACATGACACTTTTGTGCTACGCATTGCCAGCTCGCGTCTATTGCAGCTACTATCATGTTCAGCACCGCCGTACGGTGTAAGGAAAGGTGCCCGCCCCACACGGGTCCATGAAGACCTAGAGTGGTCTCGACCGCCGTTCCGTCGGCCGTAGGGTGGGCTCAACCCGTCCGTCGGCCGGTCCAGCCGTTTGAACAACCATTCTCGGGCTCAAATGCATGAACACGGTCCTGTGCGTGAGTGCCCCAAAAGCTTAAGCATAACCAGAAGATACGGATCGCAAAGGAAGCGGTCTGTGAGAATGGTTGCATTCATGGTTATTCGCACTGAAGAAACCTCGAGAACTAGCATTCCCTGTAGCCCCCGGGGTACGTTCGTAAAGCTCCATTCCATTGTAATAACTGAACTTTGTCGCATTACCAGAGGAGGAATCTCGGCTCTCCTCAGCTTTCCTTCGGATAGATACGTGCGCGTCCCTCACCGCATAGCCCGGGCCCGTTATGTCGGGAAGGAGGGGACGAGCGAACATGACAAAGTGGCTGATCGATCACTCTTGAAAATGACCTTCATTCTGCGTTGTCAAAAACAAGATGATACTGACTCATCCGCAAAGCTGATGAAAGCTTACGTTGAAGAGCGGATGCGCATGGGATACGCCGAGCTAAATCCGCCAGATCGCAAGTTGCATCTTTGAGATTTATCCACAGCCAAACTATGAGATTACGTGCACGGCGTGAGGAGTGTAGAGTCAAACTAAAACAAGGCGTACGGGAAACGAATAAGCATGAGAGAGAAAAGTTGACCGATGCAGAGATTGACGCCGATGCCGCGATGGCCGAAAAGCGATGTTGCCGATGCCGACTGTCAGTGAGACATGACAGGCTGTGCGGTTGGAACCGTTGAGTTGACCCTGCAGGGCTGGCAAGCTGCATGCAGGCTTACAGCAAGATGCGGGATGAGAAAAATTCTCGATCATTTCTGGCATGCAGCCAAGTGTGTGTGGTCTGGTCCAGTCTTCGGCTTCTCCATGTCTAATGTTTTCTCTGTCAGTCAGGGATATTCAGCCCTCGTTTACCCGCCCGCCTCAGGTCACCCCAATACCCAAAGGTGGAACGGATAGGTTCCGTAGCTTTTCAGGCTGGCTTTTTTCACCCTCTCGCGCGCTGTGAATGCAAGGGTTGGAAAGAACGCAGGATTGGGCCATTGCTTGTTGGTATCTGTACACAAAATAGATACCAATCTGGCCGGGAAGGACCTATGCCATCGATCTGTCATAGGTGAAGGTACGTAACACTGTGGGCAAAGCAATGCAGATATTCGAGAGTGTGGCTGAAGCCGACACAGTGATCGGAGCTAAGCCACAACCATGTGCCGAAACCTTTGACAGCAGCTGTTGGGCAGTGTCGGAACTGCCACCCCACCACCCGAGAGTATCCGTACCTCACTCAGCTCACGTATCCGTACGAAGTTCTCCGTACTCCGTACTCACCCACACCTCGCTGTGTCACTGTGTGGCCGTGCTTACAAATGAACCTCTAGTGGGTCCGTTGGACAAGACCCGTGTACCCGTCGACCCAACGCTGCACGCATCGGTGGCTCCGGCACGTAGCTTCCACCATCTCGGGGCCTCCCACCCTCCCAGATCGTGCGGAACATCAGAACCACTATTCACGAATACGATAAGGAATCCAAGTTCTTTTTCCGCACTTTCTTGCGGCACCTACGTGCAACCCGCAGTTTGTCTCCGGCTCCGACGAGGCCCATGCTTGGTCATTGGTACCTTATTGAAACACCATTACTTCGCAACCGTCCTTCTTCCGCTACTATTGTGCTTCGTGACCGACGGCGCAGTCCGGCATATCCGCTGAGGTGCTGTGTAGCTCCGTTGGGCCAGGCCCGGGGCCGAGCATTCGGGTAGACTAGCTTCACTTTACATAGAACAAAATTTAAACGTGCGAAACACAGCGTAACGTTTACATCTGTTCAGCGTCCATTACTTGGCAGAGTCCAAGACCCATCCCGTCTGCACTCCACTGAGTAATGCCCGGTTGCATGGACCACGAAACATGACTGTGTCGTACATTAAGGAATTATTAACAGATGCTGACTATGGATATGTGGAAGGTGACTCGCACACTCGGTGACTCGGTACGTCTGAAAACTTGAGTGCGTGAGTGCCCAACGAGGGGGAGGACTGGCAACTGGGAGGCCAGTAAAGGGAAAAAATCAGTCCAGCGTGCATGTGTCGTCGGCATGCACAAAACAGGGCAGGTGGCAAAAAAAAAAAAAAAAAAAAGAAAGCGGAGGTTCACCCAACCACGCATCAGTTGGATCGACTGCCGTCCAGAGATTGGAAAGACAAAGTGCAAGATCTCCATGGCCGGCGCAGATCCATGCCTTCCCAGGCGGCCGGGTTCCGTTCCGTGGAGAAGTCGACTCAGGGTCCTGTCGGACTTCTAAATTTAGTGGGTTCCGTGGCTGCCCACCGCCAGTGACAGCACTCAGGACTCACCTTCCCTCGGCTTGTGCGCTCGCGATGCTGCGCTAGTGCCCATCCAAGTTGGCCCCAGCGGTCCAGGAAGACCCTGATTGTCCGCGGGAGGGCTTGAAGGATCTGCAACAAAGTCAGCCGGCATTTACCGGCCCCATCGACTTTTGCGTCTTGCTTTCCGCTGCTTCTCAACTTTTCCATCTTGCGCGGCCGGCACCATCCGAAGTAATGCCTGTACCTCGTACACATGGCCCAGTAATCCGTCCACCTCGGGCTAGTTTTGCTATGTCGGGTTAACCTGACCTCCACTGAAGATGACTGTCCAAACCTGCCTTACGACAACATCGCCCATCCTCAAGACCAGCTCACATTTATCGCCATCGAACCAATTCCGGCACCTCGGATACCACCTCCCTCCCGACCCCCGAATTCCCAACTCCACATCCCGGGCTGCCTCCCCTCTCGCACTGGCCAGAAACATGTTAAGCTTTTGGCTTAGCTTCCGTCTCCCGTTTGCATCATGTTCAGCCACACAAGTGTCCTCGACGAGATGTGGCATATGCATACCTACTGACTGGTCTGTAGCTAAGATAGCCAACGAGATAAGGCGGATGTCCCGCTGTCTTACTCGCCTAGATCTATCATGATGATCGCCGTAGTCGTTTGCTTCCCTCTATCGCCAGGGTGCCTAAACATTGGTTGGGTCTAAGCCTCAGCCTCGGTCTCGTGGTGAGCTGGACTTCCCAGTGGCGCCCGTCTCGCTCCATTACTTCCATGCGAACCAGATGTCTCGGTAAGATGCGACTTGTCGGCAGCTTGGTTCGTCGAACTCGGACTTCTCGGTTCTTGCCACGCATACGTCTTCTCTCTGAGGTTGCTGCCGCGCACGCTCGTGACTCATCTACCCCGGACTGGAAAACTAGGGAGGGAGTCACGGGCAGTCATCCTACAACCTTGCCTCGGCGAAAGTGAAGATGATATTGGGGCTATATACGGGAGCGACAAAGTCGACGGCGGAAATGTCCCAGTTGTGACATACCGAGTACGAGTGACGAGACGCCGTGATGCCCCCAACTTCGTTGCTCTATTTGGCCGACCCAATTGTAGACAGCTTCCAGCTTTCTGGGACTATGTCTCGCCTGCCGTAGAAGATTCGTCCCGGGAAATGGGTGACAAGATGGTCCGCCGCTCAACACGCCCTTGGTTACTACCTACTTCTACCTTCGCCGACGTCGCTGTTGCTGCTCAACCTAGCCGGTGCCCTTGGTATACTCTCTTACTGGTGTAACCCAATAAGTCCAGGAAGGCATATGCAGTACTGAGGACTGAGGTGATGGGAGAGGAGGTCGTTTATGTATATGTTGGGCGGCGGGTGGTCGTATCGCCCACTTTGCCAGGTATCGTGCATGTTCCATCCAAGTGCCCATGACACAGTCCGACTGCACGATGTGAACACATCATTCTCAGATGGTTCTGGGCGCTCCCAAGTTAGTCTTACTCAATGACTTCCACTATCTCCGGGTCGATCGGGGTCGGATATCCAAGGCTCAGCATAACATTTGGCTATTCATACAATGACACAGTGGTGGGCTATGAAGTCCTGCGAGTGGTCGTTTATTGGCGAACGTGACTTCTGGGAAGCTCCGAGCACATTCGTGACGAGTATGTGTGATGGAGGACGAGGGACATCGCAGTTGAAGGAGGAGACGGTCGCCTGGTTGATCTAGTCAGACCGCATCCCGTTCTATCAAGGTGTGATCTAGTAAGCCGAATGATAGCTGGGCTCTGTCAGGGCATCAGACCACTTGGGTGAGATATATGCGATATTGACCTGACCTCGGCCCTTGTTCTATTATGTCTCGTTCTAACATGATTTCATTTGGTCAGGAAACTCCCATCTGGCCGTGTAATCGAAGTGTATTCGGTCAAGGTCTTGACAAGGTGGTTTTCAACGTGGCCAGGTATCATTCATTGCCCCCGTGCAAGATATTCGATCAAACAGAGCACCACCACCACATCTCATATTATAACAAGGACTGGATTTGCGCTTGATCTTCACATCGAGTCGATGAAATGTCTGGGGAAGGCCGTGCCGACTATTGGACGATACCCTCTTCGTTACCTATCCACGGCGCAGTAGACTGATTGATTGCTGGTAGAATGGTATTTCTTTCTACCTCTCACTCCATACGACATGCTGTCAGATCCAACGTACGCCTGTTGATTCCTCTGGCCTGACTATCTCGTTGCCCGGTGCTTGCGCTGATCTACTTTACATCAAGTAGAAAGGTAGCTGGTTTGAAGTAGCATGCGGCTCTTTCCAGCTGCGTTCGTTCAACCTGTCGACATTATCGACGGGCCACACTTATCTCCACACCATAGAGTTCCTTTTAATATGGGCTTCTCAGCAGTTTAGGGGGTTCGGGGATTGGGGATAGGTCATTTGGCGGTGCCACGGAACGCGGTGGTGATCCACCGACGACGATGCGCATGTCCGCATCCTGTGAATCACGATTCCGTCCCACATCTCTGACCGCATGCCACTGCAAGATTCTGAGAAGACCCAGACATCTAAGCAGTTGTGCTCCCTTTATGTTCCGAGGTTGGCATCGAGGTAGGCTGGTCGTGTGCCTTGCGTAATGGCAAGGCGCGTGCTCCTCGCCGTCGCAGAATGTTCGGAGTTTGGGGTGAGGCCGAGACGACACTGCCCTCTGATGTTAGGAGACATTGGAAGCAGATTATTCGTGTCTCTTTTTGTTCCCTTCTGCTTCGTGAAGGCCTTCCAGCCTGTGACTCCTTCATGTGACGGATCTTGCCGCTGGGTCAAGTTGCTGAAATACATCTAGGCCACCTGACGGGCTGGCCAACTCTGTAGATTGAACACCGAGCCTCACTCACCATAGTTCTGACTTCTCTGGATATCATTGACTTTGGTCGTGGTTGGGTTCTTTACGAACGCCTGTGTTGAGTCCTTCTGCAATGATCCTTTGGGGCCCAGCTTGAACGTCATACAGCTCTTTGGATCATGCGACATCAATGTACGTGATGATTGGTTGTTGTTTTTTACTTGTATGATGTGTTTCATGATCCGATCGATTATTTTCTGTCAAATTTGACCAATTTGATGGGGTGTTGTTGATGTGTTGTAATTTTTTTGGCTATTAATTATGCTTTATCTGTTTCAAAAACAAGTGATGATCTAGAGAAATAATCCACCAACATGAGTTGTGACCATGACACGTCCCAAGACAAGCAAAAATGCAATACAAAAGACACCAGTTGAATCCCTCAAATTTACAATAAAGAGAAGGTATAAGATGTAGGTTCAGGTGGCGCGAGTCTTGCCAGCTCGACGGTGCATTTGGCCTCACCGAGAACTCGGCGGCTAGCCACAAACCCCAGAGCGACGAAGATGGACCACAACAAGGAAGACCTCACGATGATTAAAGAAGCACCGAAAGTATGCAGTCATGGTGATTTCACTAAGAGTCAGATACACGAAACTCGGTCATGTTGGGTGGCGGCGTCATAGTGCACACGGGTCGAGATACGGAACTGCAAGACAATAGGACTATGACTACCAGGAAAAGACATCACCACGCGCATACAGTAGGGAACACTGACGGGAGGGTAGCCACTTCTCACTGGCAAATAACAGATTCAAGCCATTCAATGATAAATAAGTCAACAATACGATGCAATAAAGATAGAGCAAGATCCCTACACCGGAGCCCACCCTAGCGAAGACAGTGACCGACGAGGCTATTTATCATAGTAGCAGCACGCGTTCAACAGCATTCTGGACGAACGACATCAAAGGTACAACACGACACGCAGCATCCAACGACGCGTAATCCATACAGGATACCGCGCGACGGCAGACGGACGACGGGACAGACAGACGACAGCCAGTAGACACGGCGGAGAGCAAACAGGAAGACATAGACGCGAAACACATCATTCACTGCGACATAGCAAAAGGGAACCGAGAAAATTTGATCAAAACGTGCCTCGGCGAGGGATTATGTCTCAAGCCAACCAAGCCATCCGTATAGAACCCCATTTCCCGTATGGTACAGTAGAACACCAAAAACCAGCCAAACCCATGATCATTCGTGACAAAACACTCCACTCCCAAAGTCCGCATGGGCCACCGCGTCGTGGGGTGGATCCGCGTTATGGCCCAAGAAAGATTCGTAACAGACATGCAGAAACAAGACGCTTAACCACCGAAACCGTAGAGGGTGCGGCCTTGGCGCTTCAACGCGTAGACAACGTCGAGGGAGGTGACGGTCTTGCGCTTTGCGTGCTCAGTGTAGGTGACGGCATCACGAATGACACCCTCGAGGAAGGACTTAAGGACACCACGGGTCTCCTCGTAGATCACTAGAGAAATTGCGTGTTAGTCACCTGCGAGCGGAGGCGGGGTTGGGACTAGAACGTACTGGCAGAAATACGCTTGACACCACCACGACGAGCGAGACGACGGATAGCAGGCTTGGTGATACCCTGAATGTTGTCACGCAAAATCTTGCGGTGACGCTTGGCACCGCCCTTGCCGAGACCCTTTCCGCCCTTGCCGCCTGATCACGTCAAGTTAGTATACCAGGAAAGATAGAAGTACGATGTGGAATCGGCACTTACGTCCAGTCATTGCGGATAGTGATGAAGTTGAAGTGGTTTAAGGTTGGGGTATGATGAGGCTCTTCCGAGAGAATAGCTTGTGAGGTTGTTTTGGCAGAGATAACGTGGGGCTGAATAACGAGAGGGAACACGATTGTAGACGCGCAGAGGGGGGCGGGCATTTATATCAAGTGTCCGTGGGCCAAGTCTGATTCGGGATCAGCCAGAGAAAAGCGGATACGTCCATCACGCTGGATCACACCCTGTCGCGACGCGAGGCGAAATATAAAAAAACAACTCCAGGAAGGCACAACTGCACAGACCACATTCGCTTTCCCGGTACCTCATCAATCTCAGCTAATTCCCCATTGGAGCAGCAGTGCTGCAGGAGCCAAGATAGGTAGATGGATACAATTAAATGCGGCCAACCAGAAAGCGTCCCTTGTCTGTCTCTGCTCCCCTTTCCCCCTTCCTCGCCTTGAGGTTCACCGTGTCAGACTTTGGGCGCGTGCCATTACAACCGCGTTTCCGGCTTCGGTTCCATCTGTAAAGTGCAAACGCTAACAAGTAACCCTCCGGTTGTTCCACTCGAGTGCAAGGGAACGGATCTGTCACCGGCAGTCACCGGCGTGGCAGGCAATCATTGCTTTCAGGTTCGATGCCAACAACCTACTGACCGTAAAAGAAGGTGACTGGCCAGTGACCTCTCGAACTGTGTACTCCATCGGCAATCGTCTTTGGCATCAGCTGACACTAAAAATGCCTCGAAAGGGTGTTTCGACTCTCGAGTCTCTTGACTGACCGACCAGTGACCACAGGCGCTCTCCCCTTTCGTCGCGCGCTTGAGTCATCTAGTTAAAAACGAGCAACCTGAATTCAGTCCTGGCTTCAGGTCCAGGCCAAGTTGTCGCTGCATCCACTGCCCCATCCACCCATCCCCAGGCTCCAGCCATGGTGAGAAACCGTCTCACTGAACCTCCACCCGCCAGTCGCGTAAAGATTCACGATATCGCGTCACGCCCAGTGTCCCGTAGACCCCATGCAGAAAATTGAAGGCCCGAGAGATATGCATCTTCTGCAGAGAGATAATTTGGATTGGCGAGTGGTCACTCATGTCAATATGCATCGGGAGCACGCTGGACGGGTAGGTGGAATACATCAAGGTATACATGTAGACCTTTGTTAATTGTTCTCGTATTCCATGCCAAAAAGCCTTTGAGTACACTGGCTGAACCCGAAAATAAATGACGGCACTCTTAGTACCAGCTGGTCTCACGCGCTTTGCTTCCCAAGTTCGTTCCAACGCGTAAAGCGGTCGAGCATTGGAGCCGGTACCTTACGTAGCTTTTGCCCATCCCGCATTTAGATGGAAATTTCCGCAGACGGGGTGAACACTAGGCTGAATCTTTGATGGGCTGCGGGCATAGTCTAAAGGTATGCCGCATATGCAGTACCTGCCTTACCTATGACCACAGTGGGCCCTTGGGAGCCGCTGAATGCTGGGAACGTATCTGGCCCCCTGCCGGGTGTTTGAGAGAAAAAGATGGGGTGGCGTCACACTTGCTGCAAGATTTCTGGCCAATCAAAAATGAACCAACTATCCGTTTTGACAACAAAGCGCAAAAAACCCACCCAAATGCACCTGCCTTGCAAAGCAATCGCGCCTGCTAAAACGGCATTTTTCCAAAAAAGAACCCACGCTGCCACGCTTACACCTGGCACTTCCCCTCCACCCGAACAAAAACCAGGAAGGTGCGCACAGGCCACTTTCCTTTTGGCGCACAATCACTCCCCTCTGCACGCGTTCCGTCTCCCTACCTATTTATTCCCCTCCACCCGTCACCCACTCCTCATCCTTCTCTTCTACATCCACTCACAACACATCCACATCAACCAACGGGTACACCATCACACCAAACAAACCCATCAACACCATCATCACACACAACAGCAGCAATGGCCCGCACTAAGCAGAGTAAGCCTTCATCTTTTGCGACATCTCCAGCCAGACTTTTTTACTGACTTTACTTCTACAGCCGCCCGTAAGTCCACTGGTGGCAAGGCTCCCCGCAAGCAGCTCGCCTCCAAGGCCGCCCGCAAGAGCGCCCCCTCCACCGGAGGTGTCAAGAAGCCTCACCGCTACAAGCCTGGTACCGTCGCTCTTCGTGAGATCCGTCGCTACCAGAAGTCCACTGAGCTTCTGATCCGCAAGCTTCCCTTCCAACGTCTGGTAAGTTGCCAATCCTGCAGTGTCGCCACATCGATCGCATCACTAACATCTATCACAGGTTCGTGAGATCGCCCAGGACTTCAAGTCCGATCTCCGCTTCCAGTCCTCCGCCATCGGTGCTCTCCAGGAGTCCGTCGAGTCTTACCTCGTCTCTCTCTTCGAGGACACCAACCTGTGCGCCATCCACGCCAAGCGTGTCACCATCCAGTCCAAGGACATCCAGCTCGCCCGCCGCCTTCGCGGTGAGCGCAACTAAGCGGCTGTCTTTTGATTTTCTCTTTTCACATGGGTGGCTCATGACTCGCGCGTTTGGGAATGCTTGACGAAGGGACCGTCTTGGTTTTGGGGGTAATCTGGCGTTTAACGATGCGTTCTTCAGAATAACGCAAGGGTTGTACATTAAACAAGCAGTAAAGGATGACTGCATGCAATGGCAAACATTATGAACTACTTTATCGTGCCTCCATCGCGAATGTGAAATCCGTGACAATAGTAGCCCAATACCGGTGATCGCAACACGCGGTCTTATCCGGACACGCCCTCGCCACTACGCGTCCGACGCGGGTCGCAAGACCGGTGACAACAAAGCCTCGGGTCGCGACGCGCATAAAGTGTTTGAAGGCAGTCAACGAAAGCCCCATTGTTACGCCATGGTGTCTCAGACGAGAAATCGTTGTTCAAGGCGGTCAGTCGTAACTAACAATAGGATGGATGCTGGCGAAGTTTCCATACACGTATCTTTTCCCGACCGAATCATCATCTATGCTTTGTCCCAAAGCAAAGCGCATCATAGTTGTCCAGCTATCAATTACATATAAATCTCCTGATTGCTGTCTCGCCTCTGCCGCCTTGGGCGATGCTGCTTATCGGAGCCGAGAAGAAGGACCAAAGCACCGTGTACGCGACTGAGACAAAAGCAAGCCGCTCAGACTCGAGGTCATGCCGGCAAGATCTCATTCCTTGATGCGATCGCACTTTCACCGCGCGCGAAGCAGGCTGCTCTCGCACGTGTAGAGCTGCGGACATGACGAGGCCGTTGCGTTCCATGCCGGCAGACGACGGCCAGGGCTGTCTCCGTCCGCTGTTCGGGGCCCCGGCTGAGCTGACTCAGACGGCGCATCCAACATCGGAGTCATATCTAGGCACCGCCCATTGGTACTTTGCAATAGCCTTAGAGGCGCTTTAGATTGATCGAGCAGGGCGTAGCTCTCTGGGCCGAAAGAACGGGACAGGAACTCCAACCACTCTTGAATGCATGTTGTATGAGGAAGAACTACTTGTCCATGATGGGGTTTCGAGTACGGTCGACCGGTAACCAAGTCATTCGCAAGCGTAATAACAAGTTAATAACAACCAACATGGTCCATAGTGAGATCAACATTGAGTGAAAATGAGCCAGAACGTATTAGCTGTCCATTATGAGCTGCAGGTCTAAACGGAAAAGTTAACACTGCCTGGTATTCTATTAATTTGCGACTATCTTTCACTGATTACTGGCGAGGTTTTCTTGTTACATGTTCTTCGCGACGGCCCAAAAGTTGTCCATCTTGGCTCGGGCCAACGCGTCCCTGGCCTCGGCATCAGATTCGCAGACCTTGTTTCCCCACTTGCGATATGCCCTCGCCTTCTCTTCGCCCTCAAACACCAGCTTACATTCGTTGTGGGACATGTCCTTCAGATCGCCGCTCTCGTTTTCCGCCACCAGCCACTCGCGAACCTGTTGTTGGGTCTTGCCCTCTCGCGATGGTGTATTCTCAGTCCAGTCAATCCGCTCAAGCATGAGCTTCTTGTATTTGCGTATACTGTGCTCGCCACCCTCAACAATGACGAGATTCATTCTTGGGTGCATGACACAAATCCCCGTGAGAGCATACTGTTCGGCGTTCTTCTGGATCTTGAATCTATGCTGGCCGTTGGCGAGACTATCAATCTTGAATACCAAGATATGGATACCCTTGGCGGCATCCTTTTCTTGGTTTGTAGCAAGTTTGCCGTGTTTCTCTTCCTTTGTGAGCTTGCGTTCTTCGTTGGCCTCCAAGTGGTTCTGCTGGCGTTCGGCGATCTGCTTGTTGACGAGGTTTTCCACGGCCGTTGGATCCTTCACTGCAGAATCTGCGTAAACACGCATCATGTTGCTCTTCTTGACTTTGGGGGGTGGAGCTGGCACCAGCCCAAGTCTGATCTTTGCCTGTTGCTCCTTGAGTTCGGCCATTCTTCTCTGCCTCCTGGTTTTGGCCATTTCTTTCGGTGTCAGGTACATCGGCTTCAGGGCTGGCGTATTTTTCTCTTGCGGCGGCTCCAACGCAACGGGGTGCTGTACGTATTCCGTGATGATGGTGTCTTCTTTGATCTTGAGCTTGGACTCGTCGTCGATACAGTCGTATGAGGTTCCGTCGACCAGCCCACCGTCGAACCATTCTATGTCTGGAGGAGCTTCGACGACAAGGTTCTTCTCCATCTCCAACTCATCTTCGATGCCGGCTTTCCTAGTTTGTGCCGCAATTCGCTTCTTCATCTCCTCGAGCGCGGCTTGTCGCCGCAGGGCCGCGGCTTGCTGGATGAACTTGCCCTTGGCGTGGAAGTTTAGCGGCCGCGCCTGACGTTGTCTTCCACTTGAGGGCTGTGCTGCCTGCTGGTCGTTGAAATAAGGGTTGGACAGCGGCGCATCGCGGCCTCGTCCAGAAGCATCTGGGGCTTTGAATCCAGTCGAGAACTTCGAGTCGGAGTGCGGTCGACTGCCCGATGGCTTTCCATCGTTGAGTCTAGCTGGCGCCTTTGTCTGACCAAGGCTCTCGAGGACTGGATGTAACCCGACGTTAAGGCCTCCTTTAGCCTTAGAGACGCCGACTGCCGCTGCAACTCTTGCTTTGAGCGCAGCCATCTTATCGGCGGCTGATTCAGGTTTCGAGACCCGGGAGTTGGGATCATGACGAGGCCCAAGGCCTATCGAATCTGATTGCCGATCCATTGCGACGAGACTGATGTGCTGCCACTTCCAGACGACTGATGGTAGAAACTAAATTGTGGGATGTATGTGTTTCCGGAGACACACGTGCTTCGTCGAGAGGATGTCGGGAAAACCTGGGCGCTCTGTCGCTGAGCCGATCGTCGTCGCGGAGTTCGCTGATTGTGTATCGCAGTCGGAAGGGCAATTCAGTCGCAGAGATCCCAAGACAAGGAGGGTGGGCGGTAGAGGTCCGTAATGGGGCTTCGACAGCGACCCCGTGGCACGGTTAATGAGTATTGTGGTCGAAGACAAGAAGGCTTCCTTCAAAGATGAAGAGAAACGCCCCTGATTAGAGCCCGACAGGCAGGTGACTGTTGGTCGCAAGGTTTGGCCAAGGGGATGGCTACGCGAATAGGCAGTTGTAACTGAAATCTTGAGAATGTCGTAGTGTCCGTAGTGGCACTTTGAGGTAAACACAAACCAAGATTGAAGCAGGTAGGTACCTACCTTAGGTGGTGAACACCGTGCTAAGGTACCTTAGGTACAGATACCGTACCCACTGGAGACGCTTCACTGCATTCCTTAAGGCACCTAAGGTACTAACAGCACCATGATCGCAAGGACCCTCTTCGGCTTGGAGTGCCTTGGTGCCTTGCGCCGATAGCACATTGGCAACGAAAAAAAGTGACCGGGACCCACTCGATAAGGCGGGTCCTCGTTCTGCCGACCACCACCGCCAAAAAAAAAGTTCCCCTCGGTCTCCCACCGACGGTTGTTGCTCTGGACCATCCGCCCCGGTCGTATTGATTTTGCGATCGAGCGAGTGCCTCATTGAAGCGGAAGCTGTATGGAAAATTTGCTTCCGAACACCACACCTTCTGCCGTTCGGACTCAGACTGGTGCCAGGCTGTTACCTGACGCCTCAACGGCAATATGAACATCTCTCAACCCATCTCGTCGTCTGTCGAGACGGTCGAGTTCACGTTCCTCACCGAGGAAGAAATCAGAGCGATTTCGGTCAAGCGCATTGAGAACGACAGCACATTCGACAATCTTCTGAACCCCGTTCCTGGTGGTCTCTATGACCCTGCTCTTGGTTCATGGGGCGATGCTCTGTATGAATTTGCCTGGAATATCCCTTTTCGTTTGCTCAATTGACTTACACGCCTCTTCACAGCTGTGCAACCTGTAACTTGAACCAGTCTTCATGCCCGGGCCACGCCGGCCACATCGAGCTTCCCGTGCCGGTTTATCATCCTGTATTTCTCGACCAGGTCCTTCGTCTCCTCAGGTCACAATGCGTTTACTGCAAAGGTTTCCGTATGCGCCATCGCGACATCAACCGATACTCCTGCAAACTCCGACTGCTACAATATGGCCTTTTGCATGAGGCTCACTTGGTTGATGCGATTGGAGAAGGGCTCAAGGGCCTCGAACTTCCGGGTGTCCCTACCGATTACGACAGCGAGGCCGAAGAAGAGGGCACCACCATTGTCGACAACATCGTCGGAGCCCGGGAGGCATTCGTCCGCAAATCCCTGAAGTCACACAAGCTCAACCTGGGCGAGGTCAGGAAGGGCAAGCACGAAGGTGCTATTGAAATGCGGAGAGAGCTCATCAAGGACTTCTTGACAGAAATCACCAAGCCCAAGCGATGCGACAACTGTGGTGGTATCTCGCCTACCTACCGAAAGGACCGCTTCGTCAAGATTTTCGAAAAGGCCCTTAGTGAGAAGGATCTGGCAAAGATGGCACAGAAAAACCTACACCTCAAGGATTCCATGGCGACAGCAACTCGCCAGCGCAAGTCGAAGCGCGGCAATACCGATACCGACGAAGGTGTCGCCGACGTCGATACAGCCTCATCGAGCGAAGAAAACGACGTCGACATGCGTGATGCTAATGACGCTGACCTCGAGAAGGAGGAGGCAGAGTCCAGAGCTGATGCCATTGTTCAGACCCCCGGTCAGCAGCGATACCTTAGTGCAATGGAAGTTTGCGCACGTCTGCAGGAGCTATTCCACAAGGAACAAGACATTATGTCGCTCGTCTACAACTCGAAGCCAACGACCAAAAAGGCAGCCAAAGTGTCTGCCGACATGTTCTTCATCCGAACTATCCTTGTTCCTCCAAACAAGTTCCGACCCGAAGCTCGAACCGGCGATTCTCAGATCTCCGAGGCCCAGCAGAACTCCCTCTACAAGATGATCATGCGAAACTGCGGTAGCATTGCGAGAATACACCAAAGCGTCGGGGGTACAGACCAGTACGGAAGAGCAAGAGACATCAACGATTTGCACCAAGTATGGACGGAACTACAAGAGTCTGTCAATTCTCTGATCGACAAGAGCAAAAACCCTGTCCAGGGCGCAGCTGCGAAAAGAAACGAAGATGGCATCAAACAAAAGCTGGAGAAGAAGGAGGGTCTTTTCAGAAAGAACATGATGGGAAAGCGAGTCAACTTCGCAGCCCGCAGTGTCATTTCTCCCGACCCCAATATCGAGACCAACGAGATTGGTGTGCCCCCTGTTTTCGCACGCAAACTTACCTACCCCGAGCCCGTAACGAGCCACAACTTCAAAGATCTGCAGCAAGCCGTTATCAACGGTGTCGACAAGTGGCCCGGCGCGGCTGCCATTGAGTACGAGAACGGACAAATCGTCAACCTTCGATCCAAGTCTGCCGATGACCGCACGTCCCTTGCCAACCAACTCCTCACGCCGACCAACGCCCAGTTGAGTGGCATGAAGGGCAAGAAGGTTTACCGACATCTGACAAATGGCGATGTTGTTCTCATGAACCGTCAGCCGACGCTCCATAAGCCGTCCATTATGGGCCACAGAGTTCGCGTGTTGCCGGGAGAGAAAACAATCCGAATGCACTACGCCAACTGCAACACGTACAATGCCGATTTCGACGGTGACGAGATGAACATGCATTTCCCCCAGAACGAGGTTGCCCGAGCCGAAGCTCTTCAGATTGCCGACACGGACCATCAATATCTGTCTGGCACGGCAGGCAAGCCTCTTCGTGGTTTGATTCAGGACCATCTTTCAGTCTCTGTTGCTCTTTGCAACAAAGATACCTTCTTCGACCGAGACTCATACCAGCAGCTCATCTACTCAGCACTCCGCCCAGAGAGTGGTCATATTCTTGGCGAGAGGATTGAGCTCCTTCCTCCGGCAGTCATCAAGCCGAGACCCAGATGGACAGGCAAGCAGGTTATCAGCACGATCCTGAAGAACATCAAGCCACTAAATGGAGAAGGGCTCTGGATGTCCGGAAAGTGCCAAGTCAAGGGCGAGCAATGGGGCAAAGGCCATTTGGAAGAGGGCTCAGTCTTGTTCCAGGACGGACAGTTCCTGACTGGTATTCTTGACAAGGCCCACCTGGGTCCTAGTTCAGGCGGTTTAGTCCATTCCATTCATGAAGTCTATGGACCTGCTGTTGCAGGCAAGTTGCTCAGTGCTATGGGCCGCCTCCTCACTCGTTACCTGAACATGCGGGCCTTTACTTGCGGCATGGACGATTTGCGGCTCACATCAGAGGGTGAGCAGGCTCGAAAGGAGGCACTGAAGGCAGCGAAGGACATCGGACTCCAGGTTGCAGCCAAATACGTTTCACTCGAGGACAAGGCACCTAAGAGCACAGATCGGGAACTCCTTACTCGCCTGGAGGAGGTCATGCGCGATGACACCAAGCAAGAAGGTCTCGATTTGCTCATGAACCAGAGCGGTGGCAGTGTTTCAAGCGCGGTTACATCAGCTTGTCTTCCCGTCGGTCTGGTGAAACAGTTCCCCAAGAACCAGATGCAGTCTATGACAACTTCTGGTGCCAAGGGTAGTCAGGTCAACGCCAACCTCATTTCATGCAATCTGGGACAACAGGTTCTTGAGGGCAGAAGAGTTCCTCTGATGGTTAGCGGAAAGTCTCTGCCCTGCTTCAAGCCATTCGAGACCAATGTTCGTGCGGGAGGCTACATTGTTCAGCGATTCTTGACTGGTATCCGACCGCAAGAATACTACTTCCATCACATGGCTGGTCGCGAGGGTCTCATCGATACGGCTGTCAAGACGTCTCGCTCGGGTTACCTGCAAAGATGCATCATCAAGGGCATGGAGGGACTTACAGTGACGTATGATTCGACGGTGCGAGATGCCGATGGCACCCTCGTGCAGTTCCTCTATGGCGAGGACGGCCTTGACCCGACCAAGCAGAAGTACCTCACCGACTTTAGCTTCATCCTCCGCAATGTTGGGTCCGAGTCGGCCCAGCTTAACTTCAGCAACGGCTTCAGGGAACAATTTGCCGGCACCAAGGACGAAATTCTCAAGCACATGAAGAGTGCTGTCAAGCATGCTAAGCTTGATAGCCCCGGAGCCAAGGACCCTATTATTTCCATGGTCAACCCTGCGAGGGTAGCATTTGCGACATCCGAGTCGTTCTACGAGAAAATGACAAAGTACATCAAAGACAACAAGGACGGTCTCATCCGCGACAAGTCAAGCGGTCCTTCTGGCTCGGTGGATGCACCGGCCGTCAGCAAAAAGTCGGCAGAGCTTGTTTTTGCCGCCAAGTACATGCGATCACTCGTCGAGGCTGGTGAGGGTGTCGGCATCGTTGCTGGCCAGAGTGTGGGTGAGCCCTCGACACAGATGACCCTCAACACATTCCATTTGGCAGGTCACTCGGCAAAGAACGTCACGCTCGGTATTCCACGTCTCCGTGAAATTCTCATGACGGCAAGTCGATCTATCTCAACACCAGCTATGACTCTACTTCTCCATCCTGAGTTGTCTGCAACTGAGGGAGAGGTGTTTGCAAAGTCCATCAGCGTTCTGCCTCTTTCCGATTTGCTTGACACAGCGACCGTTAACGAGCGCATCGGAAAGGGCATCGATGGTTCTTTGGCCAAGCTGTACGATGTGAAGCTTAACTTCTTCCCTGCTGCGGAGTATACCAAAACCTACGCCGTCGATCCCTCTGATGTCATGGATACCATCGAGAAGGGATTCCTGCAGAACCTCTTGAAGGCCATGACCAAAGAAATCAAGAAGCGCCGCAGCGATTCCACCTCGGCGACGCCTGAAGTTGGCGTCAAGTCTGGCGTAGTAGAAATGGTCAGTGGCAACGGCGAGGCAAGACCTACCAACGACGACGACGATGACGACGACGAGAATGGCGACGGTGACGCCACGAGTGCCAAGAACAGGGCAAACCGGGACGAGGCTGTATCATATGGTCCGAATGATGACGAGGATGATGCGATTCAGCGACGGATGGAACGGGAGAATTCCGAGGAAGAAGATGAAGGGTTTGAGGGTAGCCCACTGCCGGCAGCCGACGAGGGCAGCTCCGATGATGAAGATGACGAAGATGAAGACATGGACAAGGAGGATGGCGGTTGGAGAGCCGCGCGAGTGAAGCAAAATTATTCCCCTGTCACCAAATTCAACCACGACAGCGCAGGAGAGTGGTGCGAGTTCACGCTCGAGTTCGAGGCAGATACCCCCAAGGTATTGATGCTCAACATCGTGCAGGCGGCGGTCAAAAAGTCGGTCATCCAGCAAATTCCTGGCGTTGGCTCTTGCACCTTCACACCCGACCACAAGATCACGAACGCCGCTGGCAAGGATGTGACAGTGTCGGCCATCTACACATCTGGTTGCAACCTCGAGGCCATGCAGAAGTATGGCGACTTCATCAACCCGAACCAGATCACAACCAACGACATTGGCGCTGTTCTAGACGTGTACGGAGTGGAGGCATGCCGGAACAACATCGTGTCTGAATTGGCCGGCGTCTTCGGCGGTCACGGTATTAGTGTCGACAACAGACACTTGAACCTCATTGCCGACTACATGACTCGCAATGGTGACTACACGCCCTTCAACCGCAATGGTCTGCGTGGCAATGTCAGTCCCTTCACCAAGATGAGTTTCGAGACGACCCTGGCTTTCCTGAAAGACGCCGTTCTCGATGGCGACTGGGACGACCTCAAGACACCCAGTGGTCGTATTGTCATGGGCCGCTTGGGCAAGATTGGCACGGGTGCCTTTGACGTGTTGACGGCTTTGCCTACGCACCACATGTCGTCCAACGTCGAATGAGCTTAGCCCCCTGTCTGGCTACTTGTATCTGCCTTGCTTTGAATTCTGGGATTAGGAGTCGTTGTTGACCAAAAACTGTATTTTGTATGCGGTATTGATAGAGGTGACATTCACCTAAAAAGTAATCAGTATGAATTACCAAGATTTTTCTTCATCAAAGTTCATCAAAGTTCATCAAAGTGTAGACAAGTAAATCGTCTCTTTCCCCCCTATTCACAACCCGTATACGATTGTACCCATAAAGCCACCGGGAGAGGGGAGATGACGTGGAAAGTGACTTGATGATCTCCTTTGCGCCCTCAGGCGCAGTCTCAGTAGGTTCGACAAGGTGATGAGGGTATGTATGCGAACAAGACAAGGCAAGGTAGCGTACGTGCCTTGCACTGCAATTACGGATTGCACGGTGTGACACTTCAGTTGTGCCCACGATCCGTTCAGATGTTCTCCAAACACTGATGCCATGAAAGTGATCTAGGTGGAAAGTTTGACTAGAGCCCAACACTCCTCCTGATGGCCAAGCCCGCACTGATTACCATGCCTCATGTGTCAGACCGACCACATATGCAAGAGTCGCGCCCGTTGTGCCGGCGCATGTGTCGTCGAGCCAGCCCTACCAGGCAGGTGAGCCGAGACATGACGGAACCTAACAGAGATGGGGGTGGGAAACCGGGAGGTGGAAGACCCGGGAAACGCTGTCCATGTGAGAAGGGGGCGCGGTGCGGGTGGGTGGCATGAACGGCGGCCAAGCGAACGCGATGCGTCTTACTTGCTTTGCATCTCATCCCCTCAACTGACCGGATATGCGACCCTTGGGGTGTGGGTACAGAGTACGGATATTTGGGTGACAAGCTGCATGTACGGGAGACAATACATACACGCGGGCTCGCAGGGCCACTTGATGGGAGGGACGAGGATAGGCGCCGAGAGAGATGAGAAAATGCGACGCTACCGCGTTTGGGGGCGGTTATTGGAGGGTGCATGATGCGGCCATGCCCACGACTGTAACTCGGAGATCCTTTGAGAGTCATTCAGTGCCTAGGCTGAGATACATCGTACGGATGGATACCTCAGAGAAAGGAAACAGCTGTTGGTTGGACTGATCCGAGACTGAACGTCATGGACTTGGATGGGGGGAAGACGTAATCATCGATCGACGTTCACTTCATGGTAAGCCAAGTTTACCACAAATTAAACTGGGTGACTATGTGCATGCTTGCTTGCTTGCTTGCCGGCGGGCGAGACGGAGACGGAGACGGAGACGGATGGGCACGCTGCCTTGCTGGTAATCGGCTGAAGCTGACCTCAAGAGTGTTGCGTAATGATCAGATGCTACCAATTATGTCAATGACATGTTGAAAACATGGCCTTGGATATTCGTGGCGCATCAAAGAGGACAAGAGAGCCCCGTCTAATTAGTTGATACCCGCGGGGAGGAGGAATGGGGTTGCCAACTTGTCACCTTCCGACTTGAAGACGCATCGAATGTCATTATCTCCATGGCTTTGGGTTATTCCTCAAACCAGGCTGTGGCTGATGGATACGGTATAATACGTGTAGGCAGTCGCGCAGTGAACACACCAACGTCCGTTCATTGGAAAGCCAAAGACACCAACAGTCAATGCAACTTTGGGGGGGGGAAGCACACACCACACCTAATCAATACCTCGCACCTCCAGTTTCTCACTCAATCCGGACCCCGGCCAGGCCCTTGCCCTTGCCTTTGTCTGCGCGAGTCCCCGCCGTAGCGCGCCCCGCCGAGACCGAGGAGACAAATCAAAAAGTGACTGCTGGGCGACTTCCGGTGTCCAGGGTGCTGTAAGATGTTCAATACAACGTGCCATCGGTCCTGTGCGGTGTATCGTACAGGGCAGTCGTCAGCTGTGAGCACGAAGTAGGGTAGTGGGTGCAAGGAGCGTGAAAACATGAGGGCACTGTAGGTGAAGATGTAGCTATTCATTTAGTACCCGTCTCCGTGTCTTATGTAAGAAGAGAGGGAAGAGAGAGGCAACAATTCACCACCACTTTGTGAGAAGACACGAGGTTGAAGTGTTCCGCCAACCCTGGTGTAAAGTATTATTCGTCAACTGTCTGCGTTTGAAAGCGTCGGAAACATGATATTAACCACTATTGTATCTGTAAGTAGTTGTCAACGAAAGTGACCAAGGTTCGAATGGAAATGCAGTGAAGTGATCACTTTTGTGGTACGGAGTAGGTAAGGTATCTGTATCCGTATCCGTAGGAGCTCTTGCCTTCTCTACGGATCAGGTACCGAGTCCTTTCCTCGGCCAGAATGACAAGTTCTCTAGAGTCGTCTAGGCAGCGCTGTCATGACGGGCCGCGGGTCTTGTTGCAGCGTGCTCTACGCAAAGTCCCGTCTGCCAAGAGCTGCGATGGCCGGATTCGGTCAAGTCGCGATACCTCTGCCCTTGTACTGCGGTACGTACTCTAAATGGACACGGAAGAAGGTACTTCTTGCCATGTACTTGTCGCCATGTGCTTTATAAAGAGCACGCGGTGAGCTGAGCAAGGACCACCCGTCCACGTCCAACACTTGCCCGCCGCCCGCCGCCCGCCGCCCGGGGCAGTTGGCTCCAGCTCCCGAACTCCCGGTCCCACCCATCTGCTAGGTACGGCCCTGTGTAAAAAGATGCGTGCCTTTCATGCTCCAATCTTCAACCCTGTTTACCCTGCAAGTCCCCCCCCTCCTCCTTCACCCTCTTCCAAGCCATGTGCCATCCCATGTATATCCGTACGAATACATGCTTCTTCTGTGACTGGACTGAGCAACATCGTCCCTTTGCTGACAACCGGCTTTCTCTTCGCTCGTCGCCCAGAATACCTACGGGGGGTCAACCAGGAGGAATCGCACCTCATGCGGACAACACCATCGACCAAGACTCACTGCAACTCTTCATCAACCGCACCACACCTCTTTGCCTGGCGCTTGTATGGCCAATCGCATACTTGCCGTTCGGCCCTATGGCTTGTGTGGCTCGTGGCTCACTCTCAGTGGTAATATACCTACCTAGCTACCTTAGCATCCCAGTTCTGGATTGGTAGCCCTATCATGCTCAAGCCGACTTTTGACACGCAGCGGTTCACGTCCGTAGCAAGCATCTCTGGGCTCAAAAGTTCTGCATGCACTGCGTCGACCGTCTCGTTCTGCAGCGCAAATGCGATACCACGTCGCCGCCTCGTTGGCTACAGTGTCCGGACTGTCGTGCTAGAAGATGCCGTCAGACGTGGCATGCTCAATCGTGTCGTCCGTAAAAACTCACGTCCGTAAATATCTTGCATGTCCGGCCGATGTTCCCTCACCCTCCCCGTCACCACGGGAGCTGACCTTGCCGGCTGGCCCTGGCCTCAGTAGGTTGTCTGTTGGAACTTTGTGCAGCAAGCCAACAAACAATCACAAAATTTGGAATTTGGACCTTGTTGTTGGTGTGCCGCTGAAGGCTTTGACCAGACGCCACCTACCTTACCTTAATCAATACCTTGCGGCTTGGAAGTTGGGAGCTCGCTCCTTCTCTTCAATCTGCGGCCCCAAGCGAGGCCGGGCTGTTGTTGCCTTCATGCAACCACAATCGAGACCCCCGGCTTTGCAATGTAAAATTCGCAGTACATGCCACAATTTGTTTCCGATTGGTCAAGTTATCGTAGTTGCAATGCAATTGACTGCCTTGCTCGGCCGTATAGCTGCTATTGCTACCTTACCACAACTTCACTTACCCTCATCATGCCCATCAAGTACATTCCGTCATTAAAGTAATCCGTCGTGCCGTGCCCGCTCAATGCTCCAACGCCATGATATAGACATTTACAATATCTCCACAGCAAACAATACGCGTGCATGTAAATAAACCCCCCCCCCAGGCCAATTCGAGTTGGTGTTACAATCATCCTTTGGAAGTTGATGAGAGGGGAAAAAAACAAGGATTTTGTGTCAAAAGCTCCTTCACGGGGGGCCAAGTTGTCGTTCCATCACCGTTGCCAACTATCGCCATGTGTTTCATCGCTCGTGCCAGACAAGACGCTTCTGCTCCTGCAAGCTGATAATTGGGGATGTAATAGGCTATTGCCGCCCCCCATCGGCGCGTTGATAGGAGGCAGAGGTCCCGAGCCGGGTCCCATGGGGTGTATTGGCCCTCCCATGCTACGGTTGACCGGCGCTATGCCTCCAAAACCCTCAACACGAAGGTCACAAGTGCCGACGTCGAAGCGTTTTGAACATCCATCGTCCATATGCCTGTAGCTCGGGTTAGTGATTTCCCCTTAACAGTCATCACGCATCTCCAGCTGTATTTCCCACAACGTACCTGCGAAGCGTATCCTTCCGGGCGAACAGCCTTCCACAGTAGTCACAACGGTGATTTTTTTCCTTCATGTGAACGCTCTGGTTGTGTCTCTGAAGGTCCGTCTTCCGGACAAATCTCTTGCTGCAATCGGCTACTGGACATGGAAATGGGTATTCCCGCTTGTCGTCATGTGTATCCAGATGTGCCTTGTAGTTGTAGCTGCGGCTGAAGAGCTTGCCACATCCTGCAACTTGACACTGGTACTGGGCGTCTGCAAAGGAAGTCATCTTCCGTGGCGCTCGCCTCGGGCGGTTGTGCTTCCCATCGTCTGCCCGCTTCGAGTCTCGACCAACAGGAGCCGGCTCTCCCGCAGGAGGGTTTTGGTAGTACTGTTCCACGCCGTATTCGACCTTGGACCAGCTTGGAGATTGGTTATCTGATAGATAGTGCTGGTGAAGATTGCCGTATGTACTTGATTCTGTCATGTAAGGCGTCTGCATTGAGCGTGGAGAGGCGTAGTGCGAGGCGTCAATTCCAGATCCGTATTCATTGGCGTTCTCCATCTTGATCCTTGGCCCCAACGAATTCGTGGAGTGTCCAACTTGTGCATAAGAAAGCGAACTTCTTGATGAAGATGGCCCGGGTGAGCGCCCCGGAGAGTCTGTTAGAGAATGCTGATGGTGGCCTAGCGCGGACGAGTGGGATGGCGGCGGAGGGTATGAGTCGGATCCGTATGAGGCGGACACTTGTGAGTCGTACTCAGCAAACGGGTCGTACGCCGAAGATAGAACATTCGGTATGGAAAAGGACGAGGATGAGGGCGCCATGATGTCGGTGGTAGTCCAATCTACCGACGGTCGAGGGTCCAAAGGTGGCAAAGAAATGTCGGCTTCGGCTGCCTGATCCAAGGAGCACAGTTGACCGGCAGCGTATAAAGAACTGATTTTGTACTGTTGAGCCGCCAAGTCTGGAGACGGATATTCAAGCGAAGAGTGTTCCGATGGACAATAGGTGTGAGTTGGAGATGCCGGCGACCTGGTAAGAGATGGTGGTGTAAGATCCATGACTGGTTTGGCCGCAGGCTTGCTATTCTTTTATCGTTTCGACGGGCGGTTGTTGGACGCAAAAGTTTGGATTATATACCAACAGGGCCGTTGGAGCAAGACGCAATCAGGCCTCGAGGGGGGTGGAGGATGCCCGGTTGGGACTCGGGTAGATGTGTGTGAGTGGAGGAGCCTGTGGATAAGAACCTGATCGGGAGTGTTCTGTTTCTGATTGGCAACCTTGTCCAGGAAGGCTGAGGGACAACAGGTAAGATGGGGAAAGAGGCGGTTATAAAGGAACTTGTTCACAGATGGAGAGGGGGGCAAGACAAGGCAGCAAACTAGAAGCTGACAGGGGGTCCGCTGAAGAGAGAGAAAGAGGTGCGTATAAGGTAGTCAGGGTGCAGATATGTATGAGATCAGGTGCGCGGGCGAAGGAAGGTAAGGTATCCGTAAGGTGTTGAAGTATCCAGAAGATGGGAATAACCTAGTCAAGAGCTATCAGGGGTGGATGAGGCAAATGGGTCGAGATGACACCCTCGACCATCGCTAACAGGGCTGAACGGAGCCGAGAAGAGACAGAGACAGGAAGACAGGGCGGACCAGACCCTGTAATACTACAGCATCCGAGGCAGACTCTTGGAAGATAATATACGACTTGTTTCTACCTCGGGATCCTGCTTCTGCCTGGGCCCAGAGTAACATGGTAGACGGAAATCAAGACTAGTTGCGAGTTAGAGACGAGGAAAGCCAGCAGTACATTGGCTAGCCCCGACTCCCGGATGAGTAAAAGAATTGAGACGCAGAGGGGTTGGCGACCTGGCAGCAGCGGCAGCAGGCAGGCCAGAGTGCCTGTGGAGTGGTGTTGGACCGTCCCGCGAAGGATTCAACAGACCTAGTCCAGCCAGAAGTACCGTTGGGGGCGGCGCGAGACGTGGAGGGGAGGGCAGAAGAAAAGCAGGGGTAGGGGAGGGGCGTAGTCAGGCCAGGAACCCACCGAGAAGGGTGTGAGAGTATGAGAGGGGGGATGTGACTGAAAGTCCGAATAATGAGGAAGAAACAGACGAGTACGTAGCGAGCTTGCTGAATGTGTTGTTGGATCAGCGGACTCTTTCTGGGTATGAATGACACTTCGTTGGAGCCGGAGTGCATCGGTGGTTAGGACCGGGTTCGCCGTAGGGCCCATATGGAGACTAAGACTTGGATAGAGCATTCGTCGTAATTGACACTTGCCAATCCAGGTGCTTCCCTCCAACAGTCTCGACTCAGATGACCTGCTTCGAGTGCTCTGCCTGCGGCTCCCTTGTCTACAGACTACGGCCCTGCCCTGTCGTCAGAAGCCTGAAGGTGGCTCAATGCCAAAGCGACTGGGACTCTGGAACCTCTGGGAGAGGGGGAGTTTAGAAGAGCTGGAAGCTGAACAACAAAACAGCATGTGGGCGGTGGGCCAGGTGGTACGATGAATGCCTGCACCAACGCAGGCGAAGCACATTCATCCGTCCATTTCCAGGGCTGTGAATGGTCGGTCCAGCAACTTGGGAATGAGGGAGGGCCTTGCCTAAAGGCTAAACAGGGATGTCACTTTTGAGGCTTGACCGATCACTGGCACCATCTGCGTCAGGGGTCCGGGGAAGAGATGGAAAGGAAAGGGAAGAGGAGATTTGAAGAGAAGGGGGAAAGGAAAGGGCCTCAGAGTTGCACTGGTTTCAATGAATAGGATGGGCATACGGATACGCAGTAGTATATCCAGGTCCGCACCTTGTGCGTTGATATGCAGCCAGTGGGTGGGGAAACATTGGCTGCCCTCGGTGTTAATTTGGACTGTATAATGGATGACTGCTTCCCAGGTCCCCGTGTTCTTCCTTCTTCCCATGGTGCTCTTTGCTAGGTGGGCTATCTGGACTTTCACCAGAAATGCGCGTCCTGCGTCTTCTTCAGAGAGATCGGGTACTGTATGCGAGTGAGGAGCAAGCCCACTTCGACGTGTCTCACACAGGCACACACGGACACGCATACACACAAAGCACACAGCCCTCGGGTTGTTGGTTGACGATTGACAATGAAAGAAAAAACGAGGAGAGAAAAACTCGTTGCCGTTTGTCGTTGGTCGTTGGAAGTGTCTGAACCAACCGTTTAATTAAAGACTCGCCGGGGACATTGACCTAGACCGGACGGAGCCCGTGCGTAAAGTGGATACTCCAACGATCGATTGAGCCACATCGGCCGTGGTGGAGTCGTCGGGCGAGCTACGTGAGGTACTTTATCTCAGGTATCTCACCTTTTCGCTCCTTCCCAGCCATTGTGCAGAATACCTCCCGGTACGTATCGAATTTAGGTACTTGGAGTAAGGTACCTACCTACCTACCTACCTACATTACCTTACTTTGCTTCGCCTTGCAGTGTTGGAACTTGGATGCATGGTAAGACAGTGAACCAACGACGAACATGTTCATCCATATAGGTATGCTCTGGACAATTAACAGCCCAATGAAATGATCTGTGTCTTTTACCTCGAAGAGCGTAAGAAATTGAAGTAAAACGTGAGCATTACATTGACCAGCTGCCTCTTACACTATGTCCGTTCCCCCCTCGACTTCTCTTGCAGGTAGGTAAAGATACATCAGAGCTCGCTGCGGCAGGTCTCGCCCCGGCCCTGTAGCCGTTGCACCCACCCGTTCTCCGGCGTGGCGTTGGCGCCCACGCCTGCGTTGGTTCTGACGTCCAGAAGAAACACTGTCAAGGGTGTCCGCAGTCAGTAGGGCAAGGCCAGGTACAAGCATCTTGACTCCCCGCCCGTTCCTTCACGCCTTTGCAGGGTGAGCAGCCTAATGGTACCCTATCCGTAGAACGTCCTAGCCGTCCGTAAGATGAGTCCTGCGTTGGAGGCCAAAAACAGAGAGAGAAGGGGGGAAGAGAGACTAGAGTATCCGTATTTGAGGCGCTGATTTGCATTCTCTCCCCGCCCTCGCGAAGCTGCAAATGACGGGCCGACGAAATAACCTTTCAAAGAAGGATGGTGGTGGCGCTCACGGACGCCATCAAATATCTCAAATATCAACCTCGTGGCTGTATTCGTAGACCAAACCAAAGCAGGCAGCTTGGCACCATACTCTACAAACGGGTCAGCGTTGCCGCTTCCAAGACACCATCATCTGTCATTTCCATTTAGAGCGTTCACCACAACGAAACCCCATCAGCGAGCAAGATGTGCTCTTTCACCAGCGGATGCTCTCACCTCACTTGTTTTCTGACTTAGCATTGCGCCTTGCGCCCCCCGCCCTATGCACCTCATTGCCCTGTTCCAACTTCCTCTCGTGCTCCCATAGGTGGCCATGCGCGCCTTCGCGCCCGTATGCATGGCGTCAACGCTGGGCTTGGGATGCCTGCTGCCAATCGCAGTGCCAAGTCTTTCTCGTCAGGAGTCGGGGATCAGGAGCAGTTGAGTCTTCAATCGTCATGGTGTTGGACAAGGGCTCCAGAGGGTCTGATTTCTATGGCACCGTCAGCAATACGGATGCGACAACTTCCCATCCGACAAGTTACGACAAATCTTATTCGACAGCTTCGAAGGAATCAGCCAAGCATCCAGTGCGCACACCTTATCGAGTATCCCTGTATTCTTCGGGCAAAGTGTGGAGTCTGATCGTTCGTGGGCGGATTAGAATGACCATGTGGCTACTCTCGATGTGAAGATATTCGCAAAGATTTCCGGGTCTTCTACGAAGACATCTCAGCGAGCATCCGCATGATTGTGCCTCTGACTCCTTGGCCGCTCCGCACGGGATTGAGTGATGAATCTCCAAGGTTGAGAATGTTTCATCTCAGAGATCGAGATGGACGTAAATGTTGCCGGAATTATTGCGAGGTGGAAACACAGCAGGATTGACGGGTTCCACCGTGTGTATGGCCTTTCAAACCAACTAGAGCAAGATGTCATCCAGAATTTGACATACTCTCCTTACCCTAGATACTTGACTTCTGGTAGATAGGTGACTTCGACTAGATACGTTATCTTGGCGCGTTCTTGCTTACCTGCCTATGTTTACTTCCGCCTGGGGCGAGGCCGTCAGGGACTCGTCTTATGACAGGAAAATATCTGTTAAGATCCACGAATGGCATCTGTCTGCCAGGTAGACGGTGCCTGCCCCTGGGGAAATCCATCTAACCCTGCCTTTTCTCCCGTCTCTTATGCCTCTCCCCCATCTAGACTTGCTCGTGGCAGCTGTCAAAGGGCATGGTGTATCCGTACCTTCTTTAGAGAGCACAGGACAAGTCCCACCAAGGTAAGACCAGGTTCCTAATTGAGACAGGTGCGTGTATGTTTGGCCACCGCGAGACTGGTCTTGCCTGTCGTGCTTTCTTAGGTACTTTGAGGTACCTTGTGGAACTCTGTAGGGCTTCCAATGTCAGGGGGCCATAGAGTACGTACCTCGACCGACTCTCTCTTCAGGCTCTGCAAGGTACTTTTCTGTGGGTTGAGTGGAAGCCGTCAAGATGAGGCCAACGGCATCCCCCATTTCCTTCATCTCTCAAACTGTCCGAAGGACTCCCTCGCTCTACTTCTGCTCAGAGAAAGACAGGTCCAACACGTTGGCACCCGCTGAGCTGCGCCCGCATATATTGGAGCTCCGCGACGGGTACCCGAAATCGTGGCGCGATGTTCGGCCGAGAGATGACTTGAATGAAGTAAATAGCATGGTCGGGTGTCACGGGTGGTTCTTCGTTGGTTAGCAGCAGTCTAGTGGTGCTTTGACAGTCCGTTGTCAACGGTCTACGTTATTCTGGAACAATTTTCCCTCCACTCTCTCACCCGTCCTTAGCTCAGAAGTAGCCGTCCTCTCGCTGAGGTAGCCAGCCCAAGCATTGACAACAGGAACCCGGCTGTAGCTTTGCAACGTCAGGACGTGAGAAATGGCCCTTGACGGTCCCTCATCTAAATGAGAACGTGTGGTACCTAGCCTGCCAGTCCGTATCCTCTCCTCGTTTCCTTCATTGCTTGGCTAGTCGCGGGCCAGCAACTGAATACCGTGGGGACAAACTATACATAGCGACAAAGTGGCTCATTGCCTTCCGCCGTCCCTGTGGTCTGAAGGAATCCAACAATCTTGTCTTGCGCATCTAGCCATGTGTAGAGCATACCATGACGGCACGTAGGCATGGCAAGTATCCGTACGTCTTTCCAGAGTCCAGACTACCAATAACGAAAATGGGCCTTCGCAGGGACTGTTGATACCAAATAAAGCTGACCCTACGGGACCTTGCGATCTCCCACCACCCAGAACAGCAACTTTCTACCATGTTACCGTGGACAGTACGCTACTGCGAGGTGGACATCGAATGAGCAGCATCCTTGCGTTCAGTCTGGCGTCTGCAAATCTGGAGCAAGGGTACCCGGAAGCGAGACCGCGGCCGGGCGTAAGCAGAGCAACCAGGTGGGTGCTGGATAGGGAACTTTGGTGAACAGGTTTTCACACCTCACTTCCGAGCAGTGCGAGCTTAGTCTGATTTCCTACCCTTCTACAGGCCACCTCAATCGGCATGCAGTATCTGCGCTCCTTCGCGCCAGTCACCAGTATCCGTACTGACAAAGGATCCGGAGTGCCGTCTGATTAAGTGCTGACTGTAACTCGGTCAAGATATTGCGTCCAATGGCATGGGAATCTCACTTCACTGCGAAGAGATCATCGTCACTTACGGGTACCTACAACGGCCCCCCTCAAAGTTGTCAGCGAGCGGATGTATACCGCGCAGACCCTAGCGAGCTCCGTCATGCACTGCTAGGACACTGGCCAGACTAGGTGAGTGGCCGACAAATGGGCCAGATCTACCCTAATTGGGTGTGCATCATCAAGCTTTACAGTCCGGGTGAGCTAGAGTCGCAATTCCTTGTGTAAGGATACGGTGTAATAAAAAATGATGTACGGAGTAATCTCGACTCACAACAGAAAGTATTGTTTGTTGAGATACGAATCTATGGACAGGCTAAGATGAAAGTGCGGCTTTGGCGACGTCAAGACAAAAGCATGGCAAAGTTATAACGGCTTTGGCGGCAAAGCCACCGGTGGCCTTGAGCTTCCAAGGAACAGTTTAGAGCTGGGATCGCGGTCGGTATTCCCTTACGTCGTGATGAATGTCCATGGCCTGTAATCCTCGGTGTTTCATTGTTTAAGGCCTTTTCGTACATGAGCGTGTTGGAGTGAGGTCTGCATGCTCGTCGCGTTAATAAGGCTCCCAGCCATGCCGTGAAGGCTACGCTTCAACAGTAGCTTGACAATGGCAGGCCCATGTGCTAGCAAGTCCTTACACATGCCAGAAGGAAGTCTCACCCAGGCACATAGCTATGTCGCGGAACCTGAGCTCGCGAGACTAAGTGTGTAGCGGACCGTCGTAGACACAACCAGCAAATACAGCACTTCAGAACGGTTGAATAGCTTCATTGCAGTAGTCCTAACAACCTCCCGCCGTCCCAGTTTTAATCCACACCAAGTCGTACGTTCCGTATGCCTCTAGCTGCATGATATGCGCACCGCGCATATGGGTGGTGAGCATTGCATCGACCTTTGGGTACACGCCACTCGGCCGCAGAAACTTGTCTGACATGTCCTGGGCCCCCATTGTCGTGGCATTCCAGCCCATCCTTCAGAGTAAGAATGTGCCGCGCAGATACGCAGGCACGCAGGGTGTGTTCGATTCCACTCAGCCTTATGCTGTGCCGGGCGGGTAGCCAAGATCAATTCTCCGCCTTCCGGCGACGGATTCGTCAGCCATCCCGTCAGGCATCCTACCTGAAGCATCCGAACGCGAGGTGGGTGCGACGAACCCAATAGAGCCACCGCTCGCTGGATCACGACAGGAGTGGCCGGTGTTTAGAGCCCAGAATGCCATGAGTAGTAGCCAGCATCATCTTCAACCTCTCCGCGCAGGCACGTGCGGATACATGAGGCGGTCCGAAGTCTGATATGGATTGAACGAAAAAGAGGGACGAAAAGTGGTTGAGGGAAACACCAGCCAACCCCAAACAAGGTGATGACCAAGGCAGGATGACATAAGCGACAATGTCACGTGAAGCCGCGACTGTTTGGCATCGAAGACCGGGAAGCTGTAGCCTGTCGGGATTGATCCCTTAGGTTGGCTGGGTCCGCCTCACGTCACTCATCGAGACAACTTTTCGGCATTGCAGAAGATGGCCATTGAGCTTTGCACTTAACGACCTCAGTCTCAACTGCAACTCCAACCTCAATCTTGACCTCGACATCGATCTCGACCACACACCCTTTGAAACAATTCTAGCCGTAGAGCTGCTGCCGTAGCACAAGATTGCACTAGTCTGATGAGATCTGCTTCGGAATCTGGCGCCCATGACCGCGCTCCTTTGCTCATCCACCGGGTCCATTTTCCTCAACTCAGTCCACTCCCCGTTCATCAGTCTCAATCCATCAACACATATCCTTGACCACCACGACCTTCTATCAATCTACTGAACCGCGCCTGCCTCTTCTTGCACTTGCCGCCAACGAACGACTTCACCGTGTCGCTAATTGCGGCACTATTGTCGTCTCAAGATGAAGTTCTTCATCGAGTCAGTCAAAGTCCGCAGATTTACAAAGAATTCGCATCGCAACTAACGTAGAGGCCATAGTGAATTACCAATCCTTTTCCCATACCCTTCGATCTATCCTGAGCAATATGCGTGAGTTAGGCTCTGTGCAAGCCGCTTTGAAGCCGAGTAAAACGCTGACCAATTGCTAATGTGGACTTCAGATACATGTGTGATCTCAAAAGTGAGCACTCGCCCAAGCGAAATTGAACGACGAACGACCTTGCTGACGTGTTATCTAAACACACAGAGACCCTGGACGCAGGGGGGCATTGCGTATTGGAGATGCCTTCAGGGACAGGAAAGACGGTTTCGCTGCTCTCACTCATCGTCGCCTACCAGCAGCACAATCCTGAACACCGGAAGCTAATCTACTGCTCTCGTATGGTTCAAGTCGCCTGTATTACATCACATGTGATCCGCAACTAAACATTTTTAGGTACTATGTCTGAGATCGAAAAGGCTCTTGCCGAACTCAAGGCTCTCATGAAGTATCGAGCACAAGAGCTTGGCGAGGAGGAAGAGTTCCGTGGCCTCGGATTGACAAGTCGAAAGAACCTGTGCCTGCACCCCTCCGTAAAACAGGAGAAGAGTGGTTCCGTCGTCGACGCACGCTGTCGAAGCTTGACGGCAGGCTTTGTCAAGGAGAAGAAAGACCGCGGCGAGCACGTTGACGTTTGTGTCTACCATGACGTACGTTTCGTCTACAGCCCTCTTCTCTCCTTTGGTCCTGACACCTTACTGACTTGTGGCAGAACTTGGATCTGCTTGAGCCGCACAACCTGATTCCCAACGGAGTTTGGACGTTTGAAGGCCTCTTGAAGTACGGCGAGCAGCACAAGCAATGTCCGTACTTCACCGCAAGGCGCATGGTAAATTAACCAAACCCTAGAAAGCAACACGTTATTTGGTACTGTGGCACTGACCTCGAATAGATGCAATTCTGCAATGTCATCATCTACTCATACCACTACCTACTCGATCCCAAAATCGCCGAAAGAGTATCGAGGGAGCTCTCAAAAGACTGCATTGTGGTTTTTGACGAGGCTCACAACATCGACAACGTCTGCATCGAATCTCTCAGCACAGACATCACAGAAGACTCTCTACGGAAAGCCACAAGGGGTGCACAGAACTTGGAACGGAAAATTACAGAAATGAGGGACACTGACCAGGAGCAACTACAAAACGAATACCAGAAACTGGTCGAAGGACTTCGCGGCGCGGATGAAGCACGGCAGGAAGATGCATTCATGGCGAATCCAGGTAGGCAACATCACCTGCTAATTCACGCGCTGGTTGAACGTGGACTAACATGTTCAAAGCATTACCCGATGATTTGCTCAAGGAGGCGGTTCCGGGTAACATCAGGAGAGCGGAACACTTTGTGGCCTTCCTAAAAAGATTCATCGAGTATCTCAAGGTATGTCAACAACACACCTTAGGACGAGGTAAAGCATGCGAATGCTGACTACTCTCTTTTAGACTAGGATGAAGGTCAGACATACGATATCAGAGACACCCCCATCTTTCCTCGCCCATCTCAGAGAATACACGTTTATCGAAAAGAAGCCACTGAGATTCTGCGCCGAAAGATTAACGTCGCTTGTGCGGACCCTCGAGCTTACCAATATCGAGGACTATCAACCACTGCAGGAAGTTGCTACGTTCGCAACGTTGGTCGCAACTTACGAGAAGGGGTTCCTGCTCATCCTCGAGCCTTTCGAGTCAGAAACGGCAGAGGTACCCAACCCTGTCCTGCACTTCACGTGTCTCGACGCCGCCATCGCGATCAAGCCCGTCTTTGACAGATTCAGCTCCGTCATCATCACATCAGGAACAATTTCACCTCTCGAAATGTATCCCAAGATGCTGGGGTTCTCAACCGTTGTGCAAGAGTCATACAGCATGACCTTGGCCAGACGATCTTTCCTGCCAATGATCGTGACTCGTGGAAGCGACCAATCTTCCATCTCGACCAGTTTCCAGGTCCGGAACGAGCCGAGTGTCGTTCGAAATTACGGCACTCTCCTCACTGAATTCGCCAAGATCACGCCCGATGGCATGGTCGTCTTCTTCCCCTCGTACCTGTACATGGAGTCCATCATCAGCATGTGGCAGGGCATGAATATTCTCGAAGAAGTCTGGAAGTACAAGCTTATCCTGGTCGAGACCCCGGATGCACAGGAAACGTCGCTCGCGCTGGAGACATACAGGACAGCCTGCTGCAACGGCCGCGGCGCCGTACTACTCTGTGTCGCCCGTGGCAAGGTCTCGGAGGGCATCGATTTCGATCACCAATACGGACGGACCGTGTTGTGCATAGGTGTACCGTTCCAGTACACCGAGTCCCGCATTCTCAAGGCCCGTCTCGAATTTCTGCGAGAAACGTATCGCATCCGCGAGAATGACTTCCTGTCCTTCGACGCTATGCGCCATGCCGCGCAGTGTCTCGGTCGAGTCCTGAGAGGCAAGGACGACTACGGCATCATGGTCCTCGCGGACCGCAGATTCCAAAAGAAGCGGACACAGCTGCCCAAGTGGATTAATCAGGGCCTGCTCGATGCCGACACAAACGTCAGCACAGACATGGCCGTCAGCAGCGCCCGGCGCTTCCTCAAGCAGATGGCCCAGCCGTTCCGAGCAAAAGACCAGGAGGGCGTGAGCACTTGGAGTTATGAGGACTTGATGAGGCACAAGGAGAAGATGGACCTGGAGCGGATTCAGGAGCTCGAGGAGGTTGGCGCTGGCAGAGACGGCTACGGCGCCGACGGAGGAGACGAGTATGGCATGGATGACGACCTCGACCATGACTTGATGGAGATTGACGACGGGTTTTGAGGGCGTTGTATCAAAGGATAGTCCCGTCTAGCAACTCTGATGCGAGCGGCGAGAACAGTAGAGGGTCGTCACTTTCACTAGGACGGTGCGGGCATGGACACTAAACTTTGGGAATAGAAAAAATGTTATCTCATATTAAAACAGTATCAACTCCCTGCATCGCTTTGGCATGTATGGAAAATCCAGGGCTGTCTATCTCACTAAGCGTAATTAATTATCGTGATCTATGTATGTGCAGCCACCTATGAATGATGGCCTGGGATGTCTTTGAGTGACACTTCACCCAAGCGGCCTCTTGGCCGCCTTCTGAGCTCTCATGGC